GGTATTAAATATTGGTACCTCACCCATTTTTCCTCTCTTTGTTAGAGAGAGAGAGAGAGAGAGAGAGAGAGAGAGAGAGAGAGAGAATATCAAACATAGAGGCTATGACTATACTGCATGACTATTTTCTAATATAGCCCAGTCAGGACAATCAAGACTACCATTGCCTACATCTCACAATGCCTGTTAACACTGCTTTCAATCTAACTTTCAGAGTACCCAGTTTCCAACTCTGCCATCACAGACATTCCAATCAATCCCTTCTGACAGAACAAATGATGGGAGAGCAGACCTTGAGAATGATGTCCTTAAGACAGGACAACACATATCTAAGGGTGAAATGAGTGGGAGATGCTAAAGCTGTTAGAGTAAACAGAGAGAACCCAGGCGGGGTAGCCCAACCTTGTAATCCCAGCACTTGGCACAGTGAAGGCAGAAGGATCAAGCCTAGCCTCAGGTTACATAAAACCCAGCCTCCAAACAAACAAAAAAAGTACAAACAATAGGAAAGCCCAGCTGTATTTTGGATTGGGAGAAGTTTGTAAATACTGACACCAATGAATGTGTCCAGATTAACTGCATGAAGTAGAGGTTGCTTTAATCCAACTGCTGTTTACTACAAAGGACCCTCCCTGGGGACAGTGAGCCAACTGCTTGGTCAAGGACCTCAAGGAAGGAACTGTTTATAGCCACGTGGAAGTCAAATACCAGGGGCATGATCCAACCAACTTAGCTGACTCTATTCCACTGCACATATTTCAAGTGAAATAATGAAAAGTTCTTCAGAAAATCAGCTCCCAGAATGATTTCCATGGTAGAAATATCCATAAATGGACATGTGCATGTGGGGGGGGGGCTTCCTTAAAATAGATCCAAGTCTCTTGAGACTTAGACATGACTCATTACAATTCTGATACCTGCCCAGTTTTCTAGTGATCATAATAAAATACTAACAAAACAAAGAGGTTTGAACATAAACTTGTTAAAATTTAAAGACATCTCAGTTTTTAATTCACATAAAATAGACGCCAAATGTCGTTCTCTTCCTGTGCTTCAATGGCTGTCTCTGTTCTACCAGTACTCAATGAAGTTGCAATGTAAAATCCCTACATGATCTTCCCAAAGTAACCACATGCAGAAGAAACTGACTCGTAACTCTTCCCTAAGATGAGGATACTGGAGCAGGGCCTGGTAAGCCTGGCCCACCATCACACACTGCTTCCTAGCCTCACCCACTCACCATCAAATACACACTGTGGGTAGAGGATGTCTGGGAGGTATCCCCAGTCTACCACGATAAGCCAAGTACTACTCAGCCCCGTAAAATGCCAAAGTACTACTATATAGACAGCATTCATTCCTCTATGGTGGAAGCTTTGAGTAGAGTGAGATCAAGGTAAGTCCAGGGAAACTAATTTACTACATAACCAACTCCATAAGAGTTGCTGACCATCAGCCAGTTTGGAGAGTATGGATGGGCTAAGTAACTATATTTTTTCCAAGTGTGAATTTATGGTTAAAAACAGAATGAAATTTTGTACTTTTTGTTAGCAATGTCATGTAAAGTACTTACTAAGGAAGTCACTCAAATTTAATTCTCTCTTTAGCTCTCATTTGTGTGTATGTCTGCATGCAGGGGAGAGGGAGGGAGG